TGGACTGCTGTCCTCTCCAGTGTGTGTGTCCTGTGATGGACCGCTGTCCTGTCCCGTGCGTGTGTCTTGTCCTGTGTGTGTGTCCTGTGATGGACCGCTGTCCTATCAGGTATGTGTGTTCTGTCCTGTGTGTGTGTCCTGTAACAGACTGGTGTCCTGTCCCGTGCGTGTGTCCCGACTATGATGTAATATTGACGTAATACTGTGCTAAAGTGATCACCCTCAAAAAGTCGAGCGCCTGGGGTGTGCGTGTGTGTGGTACCCGCGCTCAACTCGGAACGCATTTCGCTTTCACGCCCTGCGCAGCACATCGCTAAAAAAAACAACAGCTCTCCGCTGTTCTCGGCAGCCGCCTCCCCCCAGGATGTAAGGTTAAGCTGCGCCGACACTTTCAGCTCTCCGCTGCGAGGTCGCTGCCAGCCGACTGAAAGGGGCTCGAGCGGGAGATCAAGGCGAGATGGGCGCGCGGGAGAGGTGCGGGTGCCGTTTCCAGCGACCGGTCCGCGTTTCCTCAGCCTCACAGCCAGAATTCGGGATGCGGGGTAACCCGCTCCCAGACTCGGGACCAGAACCGCGTTTTCGGTTTTTTTTTTTGTGTTGTTTTTTTTTAAAAAAAAACACGCCCTCTCGGGCGTCTCAGTTCGGTTTTCTTCGCAGAAAAAAAAAAAACATTTCTGAGAGGCATCCCGTCACGCCTTTCGGCTTCTAAGACACAGTAGGTCAAGTGTCAGGAGTGCCAGAAGGCTGAAAGGGCATCCCTGCCTCTCTCTTCCGCTCTCTCCTGCTCTCTTCTGTAGTTTCTCCCCCCGTGGTTTGGCGAACTCGAGGTGTCAGGACAGACCTGGCCTTGAGAGGCCATCGCAAAGCATCTAGAACTTTCTCAGCCCGGTGCTTCCGGAACATTCTCAGAGGCCCAGTGCTTCCGGAACATTCTCAGAGGCCCAAGGCTTCTAGAATACTCCCACGTCAGTGGTCATCCATGAGGATCAAATCATTTGTTCAACTTCAAGTTCATCATCCATATCCATGATATGGCTTTTCATCCATATGCACCCGGGTACAATGAAAGGCTTACTTGCACGTTCTCCTCACATGTCAAACGACATAGCGGATGACATAAAATATGGCGTAATACTGACTTAGAAAATGACATCACAAATGTGTCATCCCGGACTCGGGACCAGAACCGCGTTTTCGTGCACAGGGGCCATGCTAATCATGCTACTGGTCTTCAGGCTTTAGGTCTCCGTATAGAGCTTCTAGAGATTACAGAACTTCTTACTTGCCTGGGTGCAGGAAGCTTGAGGAATTAGTCTTCGCTGTTTCTCCACCAAAAAGGAGAAGTCCCGGGAGGGGCTCTGGGCCATGACCACAGCCACTGAGAGTCCACAGCCACTGAGAGTGGGCCCCTCCCCCAGAACGTAAACAGCGCCCCAGATGACGATCCTGCCAAGGGGAACCACCACACCCCCAGATCCGGGGTGCTTGATTGGCAAGATCGTAAAGGTATTGAATATCCATTAAGAGGTTGGAGGTGCGTATGAACTCTTTAAGGGGCACAACGACCGTTAAACGGGCTGAGGGGCGCAGTGGTGTACACCAGGGACCCATCTTAGGCCCCATTGCTCTTCCAGTCCTGTTTCAGCCATTTGGATTCCAATGGGGCTTCCTCGGCAAACAAATTAAATTTGTTTCTGGAGACTTCCGGAAGGACCTAGACGAACTCGTGGAGGAGGCAGTTCAAATTCAGGCCCATGAATTTGATTTTTGAAGGTGCTCCGTGCTCCTTGCATGTCTGCGAGAGCTGAATTGGAATCCCTGGGAGTTACGCCTAAGCTCTGCAACGCACTGGTGCTCTCTGAGTATGCTGTGCTCGGTCTGGGGCACCTCATCGCTGAAAGGGGTATGATCGACTTTAGGGGTTCAAGCAGGGAGCCGCGTCAAAGGAAGAAGTAAAGGTTTATTGCATGCCGAAAAGAGAAGACAAGAAACGCCATGTTTCAGGTGTGGAGCCTTCTTCAGGTGTCAAGAAGCCTTTTATTTATTGATGACCACGCCTGAATCAGTCGGCAGGAACGATACTTTTCTATGCCGGTTGTAAGATCTCCCCCTACAGGCCGGGGTCGGAGGAACGAAATGTTCGAGCGAGAGCAGAGCCAATGCAGAGCTCAAATCCCAGAGGGGTCAGGTCTTCACTCGGAGGACGCGGGCGGCCAGCCGGCCTGGTGTCGCAACAGTAGTCCCTTCCCCCTTAAGCGCGCCTCGGACCTTTCACTTTGGACATGATTTTGTGCACCTGTCCCCTGTTTTAGCCTGTTCCCTGTCCACCTTTTAAAGCCTGGCGCTGACGTTAATCCCGGCTCTGCCCTGGAAGCGCCTGGTCCAGTTAAGGTTTTAGTCTCTGTTCCCGTTCCCCTTCCACCGGTTCCAGTTTGTATCTTGTCTGTTCCCGGATGGACCCCCCAGCTTTGGACTTTGCTCATGTTTGGATTCCCCCTTTGGATTTCTACTGGGTTGTTTGCCCCGGACTCACCCCCCTGGACACCTGCGCACTTCGGACACGCCCCCCCGTTTTCATCCCCATATTCCTGCATGACTTTTTCCCAGTGTTTCCTCACTCCATCTCGAATTGTGTCGTCTGCATAGGGTCTGGAAAGAACTGTTTGTTACACCCGCAGCTGATGAGAAACAAAGACCAGAGCTGGTAGATACCTGCCGGAACGAGCCAGGGGGCTTTCTGACAGCTCCTGTGTTCTCCACTCCCTGATGTGGTGCCTCAGTGCTAAAACAGGTCACACAGCGTTCCTGCCACTCGATCTGCAACACTCAGATTAACGAGGGGAATCGCCGGAGGAGTGTTGCTCAATATTTGGTGATAAAGCATGTCATGAAAGTTCTAGGTCAGTAAGACGACGGACATTTATTGTAGCAGATTGGTGTTTGTATCATAGGAAGGAAGAGGAGGAGCTGTACTGAGTTGTTTATCACTTAGCTTCCTCTGTTATATCCTCTCCCACACTCTGCCTTGTGCGTGCGGTTGAGCACATCAAGATTAAAATGTTATTAAGTTAATACGCTGATATGACCCGTGACCTCTGAACTTCCACACTGAATTCCGAGTGAATTCTCACACCTGAATGAGAGGGCATGGTTGGAAACTACAGGGAGGTGCCACTAAAACTGAGGACTGGAGGCACTACTTTACACAGAGGGTGGTGGGAGTGTAGAACACGCTGCCCAGCACTGTGGCTGAAGCCAAAACCAATATCAATTAACTACTAACTAACAAATGGGCTACAAT